GGGGGGGCCATAGCTGCTCAGGGTCAGACTTGTGGGGGCACCATCACTGCTCAGGGTCAGACTTGGGGGGGCCATAGCTGCTCAGGGTCAGACTTGTGGGGGCACCATCACTGCTCAGGGTCAGACCTGGGGGGCCATAGCTGCTCAGGGTCAGACTCGTGGGGGCACCATCACTGCTCAGGGTCAGACTTGGGGGGCCATGACTGCTCACGGTCGGACCCGGGTTAGGGGTCCATCACTGCTCAGGGTCTGACCCGGGTTAGGGGGTCCGTCACTGCTCGGGGTCGGACCGGGGTGGGGGAGGGGTGACCCCGTCGGGCTGAGGGTCCCGGCCCGCACCCCCAAACCCGAGCAGCCCCAAACGCCCGCGTAGACCCTTCCCCTCCACCGAGAACCTCCCCGCCTCCTCCTCCCGGAGGTGCCGGGGGCTCTTACCTCCCACCGCCTCCGCGGGGCCGCCCCTTCCGGGCCTGGCCGGAAGTGACGCGCCGTGCCCCGGAAGTGCCCCGGGAGCGGCGGCGGAAGCGGCGGCGCGATGGCGGCGGCGGCGGCGGCGGCAGCCCCGGCGCCCGAGGCCTGGCCCGAGCTGGAGCTGGCGGAGCGGGAGCGGCGGCGCGAGCTGCTGCTGACGGGCCCGGGGCTGGAGCAGCGGGTGCGCGCGGCGGGCGGGCGGCTGCCACCCCGGCTCTTCACGCTGCCGCTGCTGCACTACCTGGAGGTGAGCGGCTGCGGGAGCCTGCGCGAGCCGGGCCCGGGCCTGGCGCAGGGCCTCCCGCAGCTGCACAGCCTCGTGCTGCGGCGCAACGCGCTGGGGCCCGGCCTGAGCCCCGAGCTCGGCCCGCTGCCCGCGCTGCGCGTGCTCGACCTGTCGGGCAACGCCCTGGAGGCGCTGCCGCCGGGCCAGGGCCTGGGCCCCGCCGAGCCGCCGGGGCTCCCGCAGCTGCAGAGCCTCAACCTCAGCGGCAACCGGCTGCGCGAGCTGCCCGCCGACCTGGCGCGCTGCGCCCCGCGCCTGCAGACCCTCAACCTCACGGGCAACCGGCTGGACGCCTTCCCCGCCGAGCTCTTCCGCCCTGGCGCGCTGCCGCTGCTCAGCGAACTGGCGGCCGCTGACAACTGCCTGCGGGAGCTCAGCCCGGACATCGCGCACCTGGCCTCGCTCAAGGTCAGCGGGGCGCTGGGGGCGGGCCGGGGCCCTGGAGGCGCGGCGCGGCGGGGTGGGAGCCGTCGGAGCCTGGGCCTGCAGCCGCCGATCCGGGCCGGGGTCTCCCGCCTCCGAGCCGGGGCCTGCAGCCGCCGAGCCCGGCCGGGGTCTGCAGCCTGCAGGCACCCTGCCACCCGCTGCTGGGCGGGAGTGGGCAGGCGCGGAGCCCCACCTGTAAGTGTCTCTGGCTCCAGACATTTGTGATCGTGGCGGGGCGTCGGCCCCAGGCACGGCTCCGCTTGAGGCCGCGGGTGTCCACGCAGTTCCGCTCGCTGTGATTTCCCCCAACGTGTTTCCCTCCCCGGGGAGGAGGTTGTTAGTCCGCTCAGAAGCCGGAGGGGCTGCCGGCAGTGCACAAGTGCTTCGGGTTTTCCTCTACACCCCACTGTCCAGGGGCTGCTTACCTCCCCCTCCCCAGGCCCCAGCATAATGCAGGGCACAGGGTTAAGCCTGCGAGGAGGACTGGGGGAGCTGGACACTGCCCGGCCACACCCACATCCCGCTCAGAGGCCCCTGCGGAGCACTGCCTCCCCCATCTCCCCCTTTCATCCTTAAAAAGGCAGATTTGTGGTTGTTCTTCCTCCTAGTTTTCATCCTATTAACACAGACGTTATCAAGCAATAAAGTACTGGCTTGTGTCAGCAGAGGTTACTCTCGGTATCGTCCGCTGATCTCGCAGGTCCGTCTGTCTGCACAGATCCGAGTGCTTGTGTGCGTGTGTGGGTGTGTGTGCGTGTGTGCAGTGAAGACAGGAGTGCCTCATGCTTGCTGGCGTCGGCAGACGAGGCTGTGGGGGTGACGCTGGGCGCTGTGGTTGTCCAGGGCTGGAGGCTTCGCATTGGGGCTGACGTGTGACAGACCACGTGCGACCTCGTGGGCTTGCGGCGTCCTCCCATCTGTCCGATCTCGGCTGCCCAGGAGGTCCGTGTACCAGACACGCAGCTGAGTACGGCTCTCCTGAGCGCAAGATCGGTTGCTCTGTTCTCTCCAGATCCGGAACGTCTTCCCGGCGGTTAGGTTTGTTTTGAATGTTCTCTACGACGTGTGCCCACCAGGGACGTCCGTGGCCTCCACGTGTCCCGACACCATCATTCGGGGGTGTCTTCCCTGCCGAACCCCCACTCGCTATTGCCAGGCTTCCGTCGATCTCGGGTGCGGTGCCAGAGCTGGTTGGGATCCCTTTTGGGTTTCAGTGTCCTCCAGGGGCCTTTCTGCACTGACGCCCCCGGGAGCAGTGCCGCGAGACCATGGGAGGCCACGTTGCCGCGCACGCTGGGGCTGTGCGGACAGACATCTTGTCCCTGCTCGTGCTGTGGGAAGGCTGGGGTGCAGAGAACTGAGCTCAGAGGCAGGCATGTGGCTCCCCCAGCATCTGGTGGCCGTGCCGCTGGCTCCTGTGCTGCGTCCTTGCCTGTGAGGGACTTGCAGGGACAGCCACGGTGCCGTGAACGGGGAGGATTACCGGACTGGGCCAGAACCACAACAGTTGTCCCCTGCACTGTGGGTCTCCCCCCGGGCTGGCTCGCTCACGAGTGCCGCTGGTCCGCGGGCGGTGAGTCAGGCCTGGGCTCGCTGCGACGCTCCAAAGACTGCGTTCTGTCCAGGATGTCCTGGCGCCGCTCCTGGCCCAGCAGGCTAGTCCATGTCTCACGCGGCAGCTCAGGGCTCCTGAGAGTACGACCGCAAGAGCACTCCCTGAGGCGCAGGCTTGAAGCCGGCGGCCTGGCGTCCCCGCTGCCCCTGGCAGGTGAAATGAGCCAAGCCCCGTCCACGTCCCTGGGGAGACCTCACACAGTTCCCTCGGAGCCACCGGAGCAGCCGCACACGTGCCTCTGCTTGCCCTCCCCTCACTTCCCGAGTGGGGAGACAAGTGCCTTGGTGCCCGCCCCCCCCCCCGCCCCCGGGGAACTGCCCCAGGCGGTGGATCCAGACCCAGCTTCGGGGAAGGCCTGACCCTCCTGTCCACTCCGCCCGGCAGGGACAAGGGAGCCCAAGAGAAGACGGAGTACTCACCACGCCGGGCCTCACCGGCTGGCCAGCCACCTGACTGAGCCGGGTTCCGTCGACGTCCTGGTGTCTGGCCATTCAGCGGGGCGCCCCACGAGAGGCCCCAGCACGTGGGGAGGGGTTTCTCTCTGGGGACATCTGTCCTTGCACTAGGCTTCTGTCACCCGTGGGGCTCAGCTGCCAGGGCAGGGCTGGCCAAGGATGGCAGCCCTCACATCAGTCCTCCCTACATCACGGGTGACAGGCTGTGCTCTGCCCAGCCAGAGCGGACAGATGTCCCCAGGGTTTCCCCCCCTTCCCCCCGCACCCACTGGTGCCCACACCCATTGGGGCCACCCAGGTCACTCACAAGGGGGAGTCCCCTGGGGTCAGGCTTCACAAAGAAGTTACACTTGGATTGTGAGACCTCTGTCCAGCACCCAGACCTGGCAGTTTCGGAGTCCTTCCTCTGTCTTCCCACGTGGC